TCCTGTGAATGTATTTCCCATTCGAGTAACCAGAAGTCCATTTACCACAAATGATCGTCGTCAAAGAACATGATGTGTTAAAATCACTATAGCATTTGTGTTCTCTCGTTGGAAGGAGTAACATATCAAGAAGAGGTTCCCTAACTATTTACCTATGTAAACAATTGATTTCGTGGTACTAATACGTTACAATTGGTATGTGAAAAGTACATATTGATTGTTATGGTGTTGAAAGCGGCAGTAAAATGGCCTCAACATACCGCATGTGACATGTACCATGGTTTTCTTATAACGATATAAAGATGGCTTTTTGCTGACGAAAACATTATAGACAGTAGGGTAGTGTTCGGTTCTCGACAATATGCAGGCAAAACATGCAAGAGAGGAGAGCACCCGTTCCTATACCTTCTTTCACTTCGCGGTGGTAGGTAATAACACTGGTGCAGTCATGAGTGTGTTAGGAGATAAACGGATTGTGTTTTCATTTCAGAGCAAGGTTACCTGTTCGTTTATCCGTTCTGAATTTAAACGAGCAGCATGAAACAACTATGACAAAATTTAATGCAAACTGTTTAGGGTCAGCGAAGATACTGAGCGAAGCGGCGCGGATTTAGTGCATTGTTCAATGCAGGAAACACCACAAATAACCTTTCCTCAAACATTGGCACTTTATGTTTGAAAGTACAGTAAACAAGCTTTTCACGGTTTAGTTCTACAACGCACGTCACTATGATGACCTCACGCAAATCGTTGTGACTCAGAAAATATGGCTTTTTAGTCGGCTATAGAAAAACGCCAAATTTCAATTCCCTGATGTCTCTAAAACGTAAAATTTACTCCAAGTCAATTTCTGTGGTTGATTTGAAACTTAATGCAGTTTCTATCTCGGCGTCTTTAGGCAAAGACTTCTTCCTTTCATAATACTTGTGTCCGACCAGGAGATGAGGGCCCTTATGGGTGAAAAATCACATTTTGATTTCCAATTATATTTTACAAACACATTATATTGGGAACACTAAAGTACAATTCACAAATTTCAATTCATATTTATTACAGAGATACATGACTCATTTTCAGATCTTAAACTGTTTATGTATTAATTGCACTTTTTAGATACAATGTCTGATGAATTGAATTGAACTTTAAAGCCAAATAGCAAAGTTTAAATGCAAACAAATACCAAATTAACTAACACAACTATCTAAACTAGCTTAACTTTTCCTATACTACTTCTATTACAAATGTCCTACTACTAACAATACTAACATCTACTACTTATACCTTATTACTAACAATACAAATAGCTACTACTAACAATACAAATATCTACTACTAACAATACAAATATCTACTACTAACAATACAACTATCACGATGCTACTATCCTAATACTAATAGTCTACTTCTAACAATACTAACACAACACTAATACAATTGGTCTAAAAATAACACAACTAATACACATTAATAACTTCGTGGGTGTACATATATACAACCAAAAAACACACACCCAAATATAAAAACAAAGCCACTCCACTGTCACTGTCACATCAGCTGTATACAGAAAACTCAAGAATCTCTGATGTCACTGATCAGTTCACACGAGGATACTTCCTCGTAATATAGAATGGTGATCTTTACACACAGGCGATGTTTTACCCACGGAGTTAAGGGTGCCTGTGTTACTTGGATGCCACGGCTGTGTTTATCCTATGATGTGCACTGCAACGGAGATACTTCTCTCCTTACGTAATGTTGGAGGTTCGTCCTTCCTCCTACATACTATCGAATGTACTTCTTTCCTCCTACGTACTTAACTATAAGGATAACCGGCCAGTTCCGGGACACTACAATATAATATAAGCAACTATAGTTACTGAGGTATGTGTCACCACCTAAAAATACATACAACAATGCACCAATACTCCGATTTACTTTTTACTGAGTGGAACTGTTTATACTTTGATCATGTTGTTGTTATTGTTACAGTGGCTTTACGTTATAACAATCTATATGTGTATATAATAACATTTGAAAACAATGCAGAACTCAAAATTCTATCCTCCAAAATACAATTCTACGTGAAACAAATAAATGGAAAAACTTACGCGAACGTAGAAATCTCCCACAATGTTAGTCCATGCCTTAAATGAACATACTGATTCTGGCTGACTGTACAAGTTATTACCCTGCCCCGCTATTTAAACTGACCTCCCTGTTGTTACACCAATTAACTCCCCAGCTATCAACCGTACCCAGTCACGCTTCCCTGAACCTAACCTGTTCCCATAGTATTACCTGACAATATCTAAAAACAACCTGCTAAGTTTAGTGTACCAATGTAACCATACAATAATACATCTAACTAAAGTACCAAGATATAATTGATATAAACAAGATTATCTGTGATCTTGACAAATGTTTTGAATAATGTTTCTATTACATTCTTTTGTACAGTCCGCACGCGATTTTTACTTAAGTAAGTTGACCTCAAACGTCTTTCGTAATGACGTCCCAGGACAATTGTATCCTAGCACCCATAAGGCCCATTTCCTTCTGCTGTGTCGCAATGTTGGCAATGTGAAAGAAGTCCTGGTCACAAGGGACGGGTACACTGTCATCGATTCTGGTTACTCGGCTCATTGCAGACTTTTATTTATTAATCTCTGATAGTTTGAATATTTGTTTCACTCCGTCTACCGTTGCCTTTGATAAGAGACGATAACAAAAGGAGTAGAAGTGTTACATGATTGAGACCGATCTCCCGTGTATAGTTTTTTCCGTAACGATAACGTAAGAGGTTACTAGAATAAAAGATATCCAACTTTTTGGATCATCATTCCTGTTGTGAAGTGTGATAGTCACGTGAACTAGTGAAACTGTTTTTATCAGTTTCCTGAGATGGCCTATGGTGATGGCGTGAGGCGACTGCATCAAATCAAACTGACACATACTTCCTGTGTAAATCTAGCTGGCACAGGCACATTCACAAATTTAGCCTCTGGTGCTGAACGACTGTGCAGATGTAGCGCAGGTGTTCGTTATTCATGTCTGCGTCATCTGAATAATCCCAAAAGCTTAGACACTACAATGTATAGGGTCATAGAATTATTTCTGTAGCAACTATCACTAAAGTTTTAATTAAACTCAACTCATCCGAAGCATGACAATTAACCTGTCAGAATACTACAGAGACCACCATTGTTACTTTGTTAACATCATTAATCTTGTTGACGCCAATAAAAGGGTTGGATTCTGATTGTGATGCAAACAGTTGATGGTGTAAATGGACACTGTGAGTAACTCATTATATTGGAAGTAATATAAGCATTGGTTCAGTCATTCGATTTTCACTTTGAATGTAGAGTTCATTAAAGAACAACGACTAGAACAGACAAACCAGCCTCAAAACATGCGGAACGACACGGCAATCAGGGAACCTGACATCAGGATCATACGTAGTCGTCTCTAGCAACGTCCTGGGGCGTATTCTTTGCTGGAATCTCAAGGGAGTCTATGTTTACAGGGCTTCATTATTAAACTTTGAGATATCCGGACATTCAGGTTAAACCTGTATGACGGTGTTTGAACAGGAACGAACCCCCAACCCCCTGACATGCACGGAAACCTGGATGACACGAACTAAAGGGGCTGACGACCATCTCCAATCTCCAATCATACGTATAATTTATCATACAACGTGGTTGTATATTTGCGCTGATAGAATTAATTTGTGCTCTGAGTGAGCGCATATTGGATTTATTGTTACCCTGTGAACCTATTACCACGTTCTCGTTATCACTTTATTCTTATTTTATGACGCTCCTGATCATTGGAGGACAGGCCTGTGACATCAAGAAATCTTATTTCACTATGACAAACGTTCAAGTCTTTGTTCAGTATGCCCCCAAGTCTCAGGACAGTGAAAACATGGTTCACGGAGGTCATAGATTTAGAGTTAAGACGACAAATGCAGATCGAGTTTTACTGGAGATGCTTCATCAAAGATTGTCCAGCTACCTTAAACGTCCACTGTGGACTTATCACCAAGTATACCCGGATCGACAAATATGCTGCTAACCCACAGAAGATGGCAGTTGACAATTTTTTCAGAGCTTTGAAAACTAAAATATAACCTGTTTGTGTCATATACCAGGAGGAATTAGACGGTACAATAACCAAACACCAATTACCACAAAGATTATTTCAGCTTTGTGCTCTGATAACGAAGCATTGGTGATGACAAGCCAGGTGCAAGCTTTCTGCAGATGTGTTTCATCAATGTACCAGGTCCGAGCCACGACCATTCCTTCACTTTCTTATTCTTACATGGTAACATAAACTGTGGATCAAAATCCTGTAAGTAACCTCTATACTGGTATTCGCAATACCGACATGTAGAAACGGACTATAGCCTGATACTGTTGTTGTCACAAGACTGACTATGTAAAAAACCCGACGGTATTTACCTGCAAACCCCTGGAGTCATCACTAACTTTTCAGTGATCTATTGACACTATTATGCCTTGTACGTCCAATGTTTCGGCAAATAATCGAGACTTGTCCTCGGAGGTTAGCGTTTGAAATTCAGTTCATAAGATTTATGATTCAACGAAAATTCCCTTCTGACTCCTGTCTGTGAACATTTTGTAAAAGTCTGTCACCAATAGCTACGCCATACGTAAACAGTGTGAAGGTCGAGTGATTAAGTAAAAACAATCGTTCTACCATGTTGTTGACGGTGTCAATATTTTTATGAAGAATTTAAATCTATTTTTCGTTCAACCAAATACATGATGGATATATACTACTTTTGAATAAGAACGTGAAATGTCAATGTGTTAAACTACAGCCAGCACACATTTCCTTTGGGAAAGTCAGCGATTGGACAATAGTTTTCAACATCAATCGATAATCAATTATTCATGCATATGTGTGCGTGTTTAAACTGCTTACTAGTCGATCTTATATCATTTGAACTTACGGTGTAGGTGCTTACACAAGAACTGATGATGACAGGAGCGTTCCTGATTCTGCTTTTTGCAACCCTTGCCGCTTCTGAAACATGTGAATCTCTCCATGCAAAGAAAGTTGATGCATATGATGACAAGAGAATTTCCCAGTCAGTCATGTGGACTCTAAACAATTTGACCAAGGCTGAATGTATGAAGGAGTGTCAAAGGGAACAGTATTGCGTCAGTTTCCACTTCAGGCCATCGGGACCAGTTTGTGTGGCATTACGGGAACGGTTTGAAGGATCCAGCGTTCCCTCCGTCGAGGCTCTTGGCTATCAACTCTTTCAAACCAATAAACGTAAGTTCACACAACGCGAATTTTTTAAGAACATGGAACATAAGGTGACTTAATTGCAGTTTAAGAGCAGATTGGGAAAAGAATTATACCGTGACAACAAGGAGACACATTTGTCGTACAGTTCTAGTTAACCAACAACACTTTGCTGTGTTATTGTTTCGTTGATCATGATATGTACTATGAAGGGAAATGATATACCGAAAGAGGCAGTTCGGATGTGAAACTCTGCTTGTTAACCGTTGTCTGCGTTGGACACACTCTAGGATGCTATATTCTCACTACAACAGAAATACTGGTTAAATCATTGAATTACTGTTATCCCTTTTAATTTCTATGTTGTATGAGAATTAAGATATCCCTTGGCTCTAGGCCTTAAATGTCTCGTTATTAAATGTATCGTCACGATATGTTAGTAATATCGCCGATGTGACGTCAAACTTTAACTCTCTCACTCACTATACTCCTCAGCTTCTGATTTGTTACAACATAAATCGATTTTGCATGGCCAATTTTCTGATGTTATCCTTCAATTATGAATCTTAGGTTTAACTGTAACTCTTGAATGATTTTGTGTCATTATGGCCTGTCTCTTTGGACGTCGACTAAAATAAGCAGCATATCTAACGTTTGTAACAGTGAGTCAAAAACAATGTGCCAGACACATTATATATATGAATGTGTATTGCTTAAATTTTAGCTTTGGCCATAGTAGGGTCAGAATGTGAGCTAGACGTGAACTGTGCCCCCCTCACTAACTCCCATTGTAACGAAGGAGTCTGCAGGTGTGACGTGGGCTACGGGCCGGACGGAAACACCTGCCGCATCCTCACAGGTACATGGAATGAAAGGGAGATCTGTTGTTTTATCGCTCCCCTGTACATGAGTGTATAACGTGAATCAGTGTGTGGATGGTTTAGTTAGTAACGTGAATCAGTTTGTGGGTGGTTTAGTTAGTAACGTGAATCTGTGGGTTGATGATCGAGTGACGTGACGTGAATCAGTGTGAGGATGAGTGACAACAATTTCCATGAACCTTAGTAAACGGAATTAAGTTATCGCTTGTTGGGGAACATGTAATTGATGACGAGGCTCTTGAAGGCATTGTGGTTTATCGAAATCTTTCTGGCCTAATTCTTTACTCGCTAGGCTAACATTTGTTGTTTGAAATGATATCATTCAGCAGATTTCCGAAAGTTAGCATTGCAATGAGTTGAATGTAGATTTGGTTCTCATTCCAAATACACGTCTAAAAATTGCATCACTTCGGGTTTCCCTCCTACATTAAGTTGACACTCAGCTTTATCTTTATCGTGAATTAAGTGTATTGTGTTTCTTATTTCAGAATGTTCCACCCTCAGCGATAACTTTACCCTGTACAGGTCGTTTTTCATATCGGGCCACGACTTCCTCAGCCAAGGAGCAACTACCTACGAATCATGCCCTGCGTTCTGTATCAGCGACAACAGATGTAAGTCGGCTGACTTGGACTTTGTTGCTAAAATCTGCTACCTTAATACGCACACATGGCTAGGAGCGCTTGCATCCTCGCGCATAAAGGACAGCCCAGAATTTGATTTCTTCCAACGAGAGTGCCTTTGGTAAATCACCTGAGAACTGCAATTAAATATTCCAAAGCGGAGTGTTTGAATAAGTTAAAAGATGTAATATTATCCCGAAAAAACGTAATTTCCTCAGTGTTTGCAAAAAGTATTGTTCCTTAAATTACAGGAACTCTTGAAAACGATGTTTTGTGAAATGAAAACGATTGTTCAAAAATGAATTTAGGAAATAGCCTGAAACAAAATTCCAAAGCATATGGTCGGTGCTTTGTTCACATAAATATTAAAAATAGAGCAAATTATATTGTGTGAATATAAAAAACAAAAACAGTCAAAACCTATTGTAGAAAATTACTCGGGATGAGATACATGGTTTGATTTATCGGGTGTTCGATACATCCGACTCAACTTTTATGTATCCCAGTAATGAAACAACAGCTGCAAAACGCCAACATTCAGAATCTTGCATGTTAGGTAAATGACTATTGTATAATAAGTAATTAAGGGGAATAAACTGGCATATCGACACCAATGTGTATATATACATTTATTCATCTTACACAAATTCTAACTTATCAGAGTAGGATTTTAGTAACTTTTACTCTGGGTACTTTACACCAATATTTGACACATCTGGGTCATTGTCCTGACGGAAGAGCAAAACATAGCACAGCTTCTCACGTCTATCAATCTGTAATTGTCTCAACATTGCAGCATGATATTACTCGTCTGCACACCAGAACACGAAGGCCATAACCTTTTCTTCTTTCGTCATCATTTGTCACAAATCGTTGCAAGAACCTTTCTGTTCCAGCTTCAAACAGAGCTTGATTGTCACGAGACATGTCGTGTCTGGTGCGTTTTTCACTAGATGTCAAAAGTTTAACTGTTTTTTTTACTCAAGCAAGGAACGTTGCTAGCTTGTTCTATGTTAAATCGTGACTATATTCTCTTACCCTTGGCAGTACCTGTAGGTTTGTGGTAATTGGAACATGTCCCACTTTGTATAGTTTAGACATTCTTGTTGTGATGCTGCTGTTGCTGTGAGTAGAGTATGTCGATTCTGATTAACTCTTTTATGTTGTGTACCTTTGAATATGTATGGTAACATATGTGTTGTCTTGTGTGAATGCCCACTCTTGTTATGTGTTAGTTCGAGTGTGTAGGGCATAATATATTCCACCATATGCACATTGTTGTAAGTTGAATAATAAAGATCCTTCTACATCATATTCATCTGGTGTGTTAGTACATGTACACACTTCATAAAAATAAACGCACAGGCCGATTTTTAGTAAATTTATTATACCTAATAAAGTCGATATAGTTAATGTAATATCATAGATACAAAAAATAAATCTCACATGTTGTCGTTGTACAAAGGCATTTAAAACTGTTCATTGTCATATCACATAAGGCCACAGGTTGCGCTGAACTCGTGTATCTCGTGTGACAGCCCCAGCCAGCAATCACGGCTCTGCATCTCGTTGGCACAGACTGGATAAGTGTACGAATACTGTCCTGCAGATGTCTGGGCCATTCTGCTTGCAACGCGTTAGCATGTTGTGGGAGTGTCTGCGGCGTGTTCTGACGTAGACGTACACGTCGATCGAGTTTATCCCAAAAGAGTTCAATTGGGTTGAGATATGGAGATATCGAAGGACAGGACAAGCCGTTGATGTTGGCATTATGAAGGTAATCTATCGTGACATGAGCTGTGTGCGGTGGAGCGTTGTCCTGTTGAAACAGCTCCCTCTGGCGGTCAATGATTGGAAGAAGGTGAGGTTGAAGAATTTGATTCAAATTAGATCTTGAGATGTAGGATATGGCCCTCCAAACCTTGAAACTACAGCCACCGAAATTGTCGACTTCACGTACACAATATGGGGCAAAACGCTCGACGTTGTCTTCCATCTCGCCAGTGAAGAAGAAATCGTGATTCATCGCTGATCCACACTCGTCTCCAGTTTCTCAAATTCCAAGGCTGTAAGGTGGTGCCAACGCATGCGTCGCTGTCGATGAATCTGTTGCAAAACAGGGACGATAACCGGTCTTCAAGGGCGGATCCCACCCTCGCGAAGATGGTTCCTGACAGTCTGGTCCGAAATGCTCCTCAAACCAGGGACGCGTTCTGCAGTCTCAGTAGCTCTGGCATTGCGATGAGGTAGGTAGAACAGTCGAATGTAGCGATCCTGTGCAGGGGGGAGGAGGGGGAACTTTTAGTCGGCCAGTTCTCGGACGGTCTGCAGTGGAATTGAACTGTGAGTATTGGTCACAAAGGCGGCAAATAGTGCCGCTGTGGTCGTTGAAGTTGCGTGCATCAGAAGACTGTGATTGCCCTCTTTGAATACGTCCTGTGGTGATGTTCCGATCGGCAGCGCTGAGTCTCGGCATTTTCGAACTTGTTGACAATTGAATGGCAAAGTATTGGCTTATGCTTACGTTTTTATAGCCACTACCACGAGTTACGCATGTCATAACTTGCACGTGCATTTTGCTTTACTGTTTGTCATAAAACTGTTTTATAAAAGAATGCCCGATTCGCTTTCAGATCTAATCCCTGTAAATATGTCCGGGGGTTTGTCGAATATCAGGCCACCAACATTTTCCAATAACATATATCAAATTTATATACCCTTTTTTTTGTGTAGTCAGGTTCAGTTAACTAGATACTACCTGTGAGTTTCTTATTATGAAGAGTGTATACTAGCGATTGATAGTAAACTTATCTAATCATTTATATGTCTCTGTGTCTGACTAATAAACTCACTGTTTAGTCACTCAGGTCTCGTCTTCATGTGTGGTTTGGTCGGGTACAGCGGTACCTCTGTAAGGTAGCTTGATCCCCGACTGGCGTGTGAGTAATATTACGAGTGACCGTCACCACCCTTTATGATCCATGGCTGCCAAAAGAGTTGCTCGTGGTCCCGATGATGTACTCGTGGACATAAGCCTTCTAGAACAACCATTGCCAACGAAAACACCCTAAAGTATGGCGATCACCATTGCAAACACTGTTCATTTTTGTGACCGATGATTATGTGGCCCTGACATAATGCGTTTTACTTAATTGTGTGTATTCTGCAATGTTTTATAAGCTGTTGTTTTGATGTCTAACGTATACAATATTTCAGTGGATAAAAGGCAGCCATTGTTAAAAAGATCGATGTTTCCATACCCACGGCTTAATTTAAAAGAATAATTCTTAATCTTACCATTAGTTATAATGGGGTGTCTGTAAAGTTAAAAAAAATACATAATATTATGTTCCGAATGTCTGACGACGTAAACACGTGACGAAAGCATGCTTGATTAAAGCTATTTTGCGCGATATGTACGTTGCCAAACCATCACTTGCTGCTGTCTTATTTTAACCCGTGTCCCTTGGGGTGGGGTGTTTTCGTTGGCGATTGTCAGTACTAAGTTATCACGCAGAATGTAAACGGTTTGTTCTCACTTTGCAGGCAGACTGGGAGATTTAAAACAAACGGTTCGGGCATTTCAAAGCTATAGTCTGTTCCAGGATGAACAGTGTGATCCAGCCAAGCCTTGGCAATCAATTACAATATTATATAAATACTTTTCATGACCACCCAGTAAGTGTCTTTGCAAAGTGTGTCATCGAACATGACTTGGTGGGGTTGTGGAGTGGGGTGTCGTGGGTGGGTGGTCTGGCCCAGATTGGATTATTTGTCATACAGCTGAATACTGCAGCACCAACCAGCCAACACGCACACAAACATTGTTGACTGCCATTGCGTTATTCCCGTACTTATCAGGAATGTCGCTGGCAAGGGCAAGACAAAACAAAAGAGTTCCGATCTTTTTTAACCAGTCCCGCCATGATATTGCTGGAATATTGCTAAAAGCGGCGTAAAACCAAACTCACTCATTCACTCTTTAAGCAGTGGCGATTTATGATGCAAAGCGTGCAAATCGCTTTTTACTTTTATGCCTTCATAAACAGAAACAAAATGTAATTAGACCCGTGAAGATTGGGGGTAAAATAGGTCTTCAGCAACCCATACTTGCCGTAAAAGGCGACTAGGTTTGTTTCTTGTTTAAAGCCGCACTCAGCAATATTCCAGCTATTTGACGGCGGTCCGTAAATTGTCGAGTCTGGACTAGACAATCCAGTGATTGATATCATTAGCATCGATCCACGCAAAAGTCAGCTTGTCTGAGCACCCGATCCCGTTAGTCGCTTTTTACAACAAGCATGGGTTGCTGAAGACCTATTCTACCTCGTATCTTCACGCATTCATATGCAACATCCCACGGGAAACTTAACTTCGTATTTCATATGCTGTCACACACAATGAATTCGAATCATTAGCACGCAGACGCTTGAGTATAAAGGCGTGTACGAAAGGAATGTAGTTTATTGTTTGTAATCAACAAAATAAATATTTAACGTATCATTACTTAACATGAGGTTTACTGCCAATCCCATCGGTATTTCAGTTTGATAACAACTGCAATACTTTGATCTCATCAACCAAATTTCCTTGCACCCACAGACTGTCCGAAACACGAGCTTCGTTTCCACTGACTGTTTTAATCAACCACACTGCGACAGTCCGCGTCTTTTGTTGTGTTTTCACGTTGGCCACCCCTGTGTATTTGATTACTTATTTACAAAAACAAGACAAAAGGGTATTAACGTGTAAGCAGACACCCATGACTCTTTGCCCCATTGGGTATTGCCACAAATACATCTTCCCTTCTCTCCATATGTCAGATTCCAAACGATGCCCAGCATCACATCAATAGCTGGTACAGTCAATGGCTCCATGCGTTAAAGCGTAGACAACCGTTAAGGGCTATGCACGAGCCTTTTTTTTCCTTAAATCCTTTTGAATATTTCAGATGCCCCGTTTGACACCTTGTTAAAGGAGTCAAAAGGTTTGAATTAAGTACTTTCGTAAGTGAGTGTCATTCCTGGTTACAAACTTAGTACAATACTAACAGGCCAGACAGATGTGGCTATTTGTCACATCTTCTACGTATACAGTCCATTTAACAAATGGCAAATAGTTTTTCATCTGTTTCTTTATCATTTTGGAAAAGTCTGCACATTAATATAAATATTTGAAGTTGATAATTTACTTTGAGAACATATCCTGAAAAAATATTTCAATTTGGTTATTTATTTTTTGTTTACATTGTCTGTACGGTTCCACATGCTGACATCGAAAGCATCAAACATCAATACTGTAATTAATTTTATATGCAGTGAAAGAGTGAATGAGTATGGTTTTAAGCCGCTTTTAGAAATATTCCAGCAAAATCTAGGCGGGGGACATCAGAAATGGGCTTCACACAATGTACCCTTGTCGGGAATCGCTACCCGACCGCCACTTTTTATACATATCCATTCATATACTGTCATAGACTTCACTGTCTCAGTTGTAGTGGCATCGCTTTATAATTATACACACCAATCCGTAAATGCCACTGGAAGATTTCAATAATGTCAGACTACTATCATTTGGTTTGCAAACAAAAGAAAAAGGCCAGTCACGTAATGTTGTTAGAAGGTAAAATACATCTCCAAAGCAAAATAATTCGATTTCTTTTTTACCTAATTGATCGATGGGCTTGGTGTGAAAAAAGCGAATTCTTTTTTATTTTCAGGATGTCAACTATTATATAGGTATACATAACATGACGGCATATGGGTGAGGTAGTTTAAAGCCAAATAACAATGTTTAAATGCAAACAAATACCAAATTGACTAACACAACTAACTAAACTAGCTTAACTTATCCTATCCTACTTCTATTACAAATGTCCTACTACTAACAATACTAACATCTACTACTAATACCTTATTACTAACAATACAAATATCTTCTTCTAACAATACAAATATCTACTACTAACAATACAACTATCACGACACTACTATCATAATACTAATAGTCTACTTCTAACAATACTAACACAACACTAATACAAATGTTCAAAACATAACACAACTAATACACATTAATAACCTGGGTGTACATATATACAACAACAAAAGACACACCAAAAAAAAAAGCCACTCCACTGTCATTGTCACATCAGCTGTATACAGAAAACTCAAGAATATCTGATGTCACTGATCAGTTCACACGAGGATACTTCCTCGTAATATAGAATGGTGATCTTTACACCATGGGATGTTTTCCCCACGGAGTTAAGGGTGCCTGTGTTACTTGGATGCCACGGCTGTGTTTATCCTATGATGTGCACTGCAACGGAGATACTTCTCTCCTTACGTAGTGTTGGAGAACTTCTCTCCTTACGTAATGTTGGAGGTTCGTCCTTCCTCCTACGTACTATCGAATGTACTTCTTTCCTCCTACGTACTTAACTATAAGGATAACCGGCCAGTTCCGGGACACTACAATATAATATAAGCAACTATAGTTACTGAGGTATGTGTCACCACCTAAAAATACATACAACAATGCACCAATACTCTGATTTACATTTTACTGAGTGGAACTGTTTATACTTTGATCATGTTGTTGTTATTGTTACAGTGGCGTTACGTTACAACACTCTATATGTGTAAATTCTAACATTTGAAAACAATGCAGAACTCAAAATTCTATCCTCCAAAATACAATTCTACGTGAAACAAATAAATGGAAAAACTTACGCGAACGTAGAAATCTCCCACAATGTTAGTCCGTGCCTTAAATGAACATACTGATTCTGGCTGACTGTACAAATTATTACCCTGCCCCGCTATTTAAACTGACCCCAAAGTCCAAGCTACCCCTGACCTCCCTTTTGTTACACCAATTAACTCCCCAGCTATCAGCCGTACCCAGTCACGCTTCCAAGAACCTAACCTGTTCCCATAGTATTACCTGACAATATCTAAAAACAACCCACTAAGCTTAATATACCAATGTAGCCATACTATAATACATCTATCTAAAGTACTAACATATATTTTATAAACAAGAATATCTGTGATCTTGACAAAGGTTTTGAATAATGTTTCTATTACATTCTTTTGTAGAGTCCGCACGCGATTTTTACTGAAGTAAGTTGACCTCAGGCTACTTATTGTGAAGAGAAGACGAGATTTTCCTATATTTCTATGCACTGGTTTAGTAAAGACGTCCTAGGACAATTGTATCCTAGCACCCATAAGGCCCATTTCCTTTGTGTCGCAATGATGGCAATGTGAAAGAAGTCCTGGTCACAAAGGACGGGTTTTATAATTAGAGGAGTAAATCTTTTGTTGTCCATTGTAAGACTCGTTCGGTACACTGTCATCGATTCTGGTTACTCAGCTCATTGCGGGCTTTTATTTATTAATCTCTGATAGTTTGAATATTTGTTTCACTCCGTCTACCGTTGCCTTTGATTTGATTTATCAAACTCATTTTCACTTTGAATGTAGAGTTCATTAAAGATCAAAGGCTAGAACAAGCAAACCAGTCTCAAAGCATGCGGAACGACATGGCAATCAGGGAACCTTACATCAGGATCATACGTAGTCGTCTCTGGCAACGTCCTGGAACGTATTCTTCACTGGAATCTCCAGGGAGTCTATGTTTACTGGGCTTCGTAATAAAACTTTGAGATATCCGGACATTCGGGTTAAACCAGTATGACGGTATTTTTCTGAACAGGAACGAACCCCCTGACATGCAGAGAAACCTGGATGACACGAACTCAAATATAATTAACTCTGAACATAGTTTAAGACAATGTACCGTAATGGTCCCAAAGGCCTTTGTACATGTACACCTGTCTACCGTCATACTAATATTTGTGACATCGAAATAGTGTGTCTCGCCCACATTCCTCAATACTGATAAATCGAGCTAGTTTGACCTGTCTGAAAATATATGATGTCACTAGCAGGCAAGTTGAAACATCAGTCATTATGTTATGGTTCAGGAACATTTGGCTTCAAAACCTTCTTATTTAAAGGGGCTGATGTGTCTTCCACACGACGATCGTGTCCAATCATATGTATAATTCATCATGCTGAAACCAATATAAATGCGAACAATCATCATTCTTAGGATGTTTTATGTTTGTTATAAGGGGCTGTCGACAGACCCATAATTGTTATGTATTTCTAAAAATGAAATTAATAATTAGATGACACATGTACACGTTTAAGCACCCAAAGGACGAGACAATATGTTGAGCAGTCCTGGTCATACGGAAACTGTGTCTGCACATTTGTGGGTTGTGAGAAGAGGATGAAGGGGGTACATCCTGTTAGTTGGTGGCAGCCGACTTAATTGGCAGTCCGTATCTTCCTAATTGGCAAAGTGTTGTTTTAGCTACCTTCCTTTTATAGCTGTAATACAGTTGTTTGTCTAAAACGTGGTTGTATATTTGCGATGATAGAACTAATTCGTGGTCTGAGTGGGTGCAGACTGGATTTATTGTTTATTGTCAACTACATGTATTATTAAAATTTGTAGTTATATAATTAACGCGTGGTATCACTGTTGTCTTTTTTTTATGACACCCCTGATCATTGGAGCACAGCCCCGTGACATCAAGAAACCTTATTCTACCATGACAAACGTTCAAGTCTATGTTCGGTACACCCACAAATCTCAGGACAGTGAAAACTTGGTTCACGGAGGTCATAGATTTAGAGTTGAGACGACAAATGCAGATCGAGTTTACTGGAGATGCTTCATCAAAGATTGTCCAGCTACCTTAAACACCTCTGTATACCCGGATCGACAACTATGCTGCTGAACCTCATAAGATGGCTGTTGACAATTTTTTCAGTGCTTTTAAAACTAAAATCAGTGAGAATATAACCTGTTTTTGCCATATACCAGGAGGAATTAAAAGGTACAGTTTTGAAAAATAATATCTATAGTCAAATTTCGGCATGATCATATTGTAACTCTGATAATAATAATAAAAAGATAACGAATCATCAGTGATGATAAGCCAGGTGCCAGCTCTCTACAGATGTGTTTCATCAATGTTCCAGGTCTGAGCCTCGACAATTCCTCTACTTTCTTTTTCTTACATGGTAACATGAAATGTGGATCATAATCCTGTAAATAACCTCTATACTCGTATACTCAATACCTAGAAACGGTCTATAGCCTGACCCTGTTGTTGTCACAAGACTGACTATTTAAAGAAGCCGACGGTATTTATCTGCAAACCCCTGGAGTCATCACTAACATTTCCGTGATCCGCTGAGACTATTATGCCTCAAAGCTTTTACGTCCAATATTTCGGCAAATAATCGAGACTTGTTCTCGGAGATTAGCGTTTGAAATTTATAGGACTAATACATCAAGTACATAAGATTCCTGATTCCATGAAAATCCTCATCTGACTGCTGTCAGCGAACATTTTGTAAAAGTCTGTCACCAATAGCTACGTCATACGTAAACAGTGTGAAGGTCGGGTGATTAAGTAAAAACAATCGTTCTACCATGTTGTTGACGGTGTCAATATTTGTGAAGAATTTACATCTATTTTCGTTCAATCAAATACATGATGGATATATACTACTGTTGAATACATAGTCTACCATAGTCCACAAAATACACGAAATTAAAGGTCTCCTTTTAGAACATGAAATGTCAATGTGTTAAACTACAGCCAGCACACATTTCCTTTGGGAAAGTCAGCGATTGGACAAAAGTTTCCAACATCAATCGATAATCGATTATTCATGCATATGCGTGCGTGTTTAAACTGCTTACTGGTCGATCTTATATCATTTGAACTTACGGTGAAGGGTGCTTACACAAGAACTGATGATGACAGGAGCGCTCCTGATTCTGCTTTTTGCAACCCTTGCCGCTTCTGAAACATGTGAATCTCTCCATGCAAAGAAAGTTGATGCATATCATGACGAGAGAATTTCCCAGTCAGTTATGTGGACTCTAAACAATCTGACCAAGGCTGAATGTATGAAGGTGTGTCAAAGGGAAAAGTATTGCGTCAGTTTCCACTTCAGTCCATCGGAACCAGTTTGTGTGGCATTACGGGAACGGTTTGAAGGATCCAGCGTTCCCTCCGTCAAGGCCCTTGGCTATCAACTCTTTCAAACCAATAAACGTAAGTTCACACAACGCGAATGTTTTAAGAACATGGAACATAAGGTGACTTAATTGCAGTTTAGGAAAAGAATTACACCATGACAACACGGAGACACATTTGTCGTACAGTTCTAGTTAACCAACAACACTTTGCTGTGTTATTGTTTCGTTGTTTATGATATGTAATATGAAGGGAAATGATATACCGAATGCGGCAGTTCGGATGTGAAACTCTGCTTGTTATCCGTTGTCTGCGTTGGACACACTCTAGGATGCTATATTCTCACTACAACAGAAATACTGGTTAAATCATTGAATTACTGTTATCCTTTTTAATTTCTATGTGGTATGAGAATTAAGATATCCCTATGCTCTAGGCCTTAAATGTCTCGTTATTAAATGTATCGTCATGATATGGAAGAAGTATTGCCGATGTGACGTCAAACATTAACTCTCTCACTCACTATAGTCCTCAGCTTCTGATATGTTACAAAATAAATCGATTTTGCATGGCCAATTTTCTGATGTTATCCTTCAATTATGAATCCTAGGTTGTAGCCCTTGAATGATTGTGTGTCATTATGGCCTGTCTCTTTGGACGTCGACTTAAATAAGCAACATATCTAACGTTTGTAACAGTGAGTCCAAAACAATGTGCCAGATACATTATGTATATGAATGTGTATTGCTTAAATTTTAGCTTTGGCCATAGTAGGGTCAGAATGTGAGCTAGACGTGGACTGTGCTTCCCTCACTAACTCCCACTGTAACGAGGGGGTCTGCAGGTGTGACGCGGGCTACGGGCCGGACGGAGACATTTGCCGCATCCTCACAGGTACATGGAATGAAAGGGATCTGTTGTTTTATTGCTCCCTTGTACATGAGTATGTAACGTGAATCAGTGTGGGTGGTTTAGTTAGTAACGTGAATCAGTGTGTGGATGATTTAGTTAGTAACGTGAATCAGTGTGTGGATGGTTTAGTTACTAACGTGAATCTGTTTGTGGGTGGTTTAGTTAGTAACGTGAATCAGTTTGTGGGTGGTTTAGTTAGTAACGTGAATCAGTTTGTGGGTGGTTTAGTTAGTAACGTGAATCTGTGGGTTGATGATCGAGTGACGTGACGTGAATCAGTGTGAGGATGAGTGACAACAATTTCCATGAACCTTAGTAAACGGAATTAAGTTATCGCTTGCTGGGGAACATGTAATTGATAACGAGGCTCTTGAAGGCATTGTGGTTTATCGGAATTTTTGTGGCCTAATTCTTCACTCGCTAGGCTAACATTTGTTGTTTGAAATGATATCATTCAGCAGATTCTCGAAAGCATTGCAATTAGTTCTCATTCCAAATACACGTCTAAAAATTGCATCACTTTTTCACGGGTTTCCCTCCTACATTAAGTTGACACTCAGCTTTATCTTTATCGTGAATTAAGTGTATTGTGTTTCTTATTTCAGAATGCTCCACCTTCAGCGATAACTTAACCCTGTACAGGTCGTTTTTCATATCCAGCCAATACTTCCTCAGCCAAGGAACATCTACCTACGAATCATGCCCTGCGCTCTGCATCAGCAACAACAAGTGTAAGTCGGCTGACTTGGACTTTGTTGGAAAAATCTGCTACCTGAATGCGCACACATGGCTAGGAGCGCTTGTATCCTCGCGCATAAAGAACAGCCCAATATTTGATTTCTTCCAGCGAGAGTGCCTTTGGTAAATCACCTGAGAACTGCAATTAAATATTCCAAAGCGGAGTGTTTGAATAAGTTAAAAGATGTAATATTATCCCGAAAAAACGTAATTTCCTCAGTGTTTGCAAAAAGTATTGTTCCTTAAATTACAGGAACTCTTGAAAACGATGTTTTGTGAAATGAAAACGATTGTTCAAAAATGAATTTAGGAAATAGCCTGAAACAAAATTCCGAAGCATATGGTCGGTGCTTTGTTCACATAAATATTAAAAATAGAGCAAATTATATCGTGTGAATATGAAAAACAAAAACAGTAAAAACCTATTTGAAAATTACTAGGGATCAGATACATGGTTTGATTTATCGGGTGTTCAATACATCCGACTCAACTTTTATCTATCCCAATGATGAAACAACAGCTGCAAAACGCCAACATTCTGAATCTTGTATGTTAGGTAAATGACTGATGTATAAAAAGTAATTAAGGAGAAGAAACTGGCATATCGACACCAATGCGTATATATGCACTTATTCAACTTACACAAATTCTAACTTATCTGAATAGGATTTTAGTAACTTTGACTCTGGGTACTTTACACCGATATTTGACACATCTGTGTTAGGAGTTTGTCCTTGAGGGTGAGGTTTGTATGTCCAAACCGTTATCCACAGCTTTCGAAATTGGTTCTGGCCAGAAGTTTTTTTACGCTTGGGAACAGACTGAAGACTAACGGATTCAAATCAGGAAAATAAGGTGGGTGTTGAAGTATTCCAAATCAGCACTCGTTGATTGTGCTCTTGGTCATTGTCCTGACGGAAGAGCACAACATAGCGCAGCTTCTCACGTCTATCAATCTGTAATTGTCTCAAAGGGGCGGTCGGGTAGCCTAGTGGTTAAAAGCGTTCGCTCGTCACGCCGAAGACCCGGGTTCGATTCCCGACATGGGAACAATGTGTGAAGCCCGTTTCCGGTGTCCCCCGCCGTGATATTGCTGGAATATTGCCAAAACCTTCCTAAAACCAAACTCACTCACTCACTCACTCATAAATTGTCTCAACATTGCAGCGTGATATTACTCGTCTGCACACTAGAACACGACGGCCATAACCTTTTCTTCTGTCGTCATCCTTTGTCACAAATCGTTGCAAGAACCTTTCTGGGCCAGCTTCAAACAGAGCTTGATTGTCACGAGACATGTCGTGTCTGGTGCGTTTTTCATTAGATGTCAAAAGCTTAACTGTTGTTTTACTCAAGTTAGGGACGTTGCTAGCTTGTACTATGTTAAATCGTAACTATATTCTCTTCCCCTTGGCAGTACCTGTAGGTTTGTGGTAATTGGAACATGTCCCACTTTGTATAGTTTAGACATTCTTGTTGTGATGCTGCTGTTGCTGTGAGAAGAGTATGTCCATTCTGTTTAACTCTCTTAAGTTGAGTACCTTTGAATATGTATGGTAACATATGTGTTGTCTTGTGTGAATGCCCACTCGGGTAATGTATTAGTTCGATCCTTCTACATCATATTCATCTGGTGTGTTAGTACATGTACACACTTCATAAAAAGAATCGCACAGGTAGATTTTTAATGAATTTATTGTACCCAATAAAGTCGATATATTTAATGTGATATCATAGATACAAAAAATTAAATTTCACATGTTGCCTTTTTACAAAAGCATTTAATGTCATGTCACGTAAGGCCACATGATGCGCTGAACTCGTGTATCTCGTGTGACAGCCCCAGCCAGTAATCACGGCTCTGCATTTCCTCGGCACTGTGTACGAATACTGTCCTGCGGAATTCTGCGCCATTTTACTTGTAACGCGTTGGCCAGTTGTGGCAGTGACTGCGGCGTGTTCTGACGTAGAGGTACACGTCGATCGAGTTCATCTCTGAAGTGTTCAACTGGGTTTAGATATGGAGATCTCGAAGGCCAGGGCAAGCCGTTGATGTTGGCATTATGAAGGTAATGTACCGTGACACGGTGCGGTGGAGCGTTGTCCTGTAAAACAGCTCCCTCTGGCGGTCAATTATTTTGAGGAAGATGGGGTTGAAGAATTTGATTCATGTAGCGATTAGCTGTCAAATTTCCCTGACCCGCAACCAAGTTAGATCTCGTGGTGTAGGATAAAACCATGAAACTACCGCCACTGGAAGTGTCGAATTCAAGTACACAATGTGGGGCAAAACGCTCATTTCGACGATGATTGACACGTTGTCTTCCATCTCGCTGGTGAAGAAGAAATCGTGATTCAGCGCTAAACCAAACTCGCCTCCAGTTTCTCAAAATCCAAGGCTGTAAGGTGGCACCAACGCATGCGTCGCTGTCGATGAATCTGTTGCAAACGATAACTGGACGATAACTGGTCTTCAAGGTCGGATTCCACCACCTGACAGTCTGGTCCGATATGCTCCTCGAACCAGGGGTGCGTCCTGCAGTTTAAGTACCTCTGGTATTGCGATGAGGTAGGTAGAACAGTCGACTGAGGCGATCCTGTGCAGGGGTGGTAACTTTTGGACGGCCAGTTCTCGGGCGGTCTGCAGTGGAATTGAACTGTGTGTATTGGTCACAAAGGCGGCACATACTGCTGTGATGGACGTTGAAGTGGCGAGCATAAGAAGACTGATTGTGATTGCCCTCTTTGAATACGTCTTGTGGTGATGTTCCTATCGGCAGTGCTGAGTCTCCGCATTTTTGAACTTGTAAAATGTTGACAACTGAATGACAAATTATTGGCTTATGCTTGCCTTTTTATAGCCATTACCACGAGTTACGCATGCCAAAACTTGTATTTTGTTTTACTGTTTTCCTCTATGACATTTTTTAACAAGTGTGAAAGCAATGCCGTTTTAGACATTGTAAATCGACAGTGGCTGCGTTTTGTCGGGTAGCCTAGTGGTTAAAGCGTTAGCTCGTCACGCCGAAGACCCGGGTTCGATTCCCGACATGGGTACAATGTGTGAAGCCCATTTCTGGTGTCCCCCGCCGTGATATTGCTGGAATATTGCTAAAAGCGGCGTAAAACCATACTCACTCACTCACTCACTCTTTGTGTAGTCTGTGCACTACCTGTGCGTTTCTTTTTTTTGAAGAGTGTATACTAGTAATTGATTGTAAACTTATCTAATCATTTATATGACTCTGGGCCTGACTAATAAACTCACTGTTCAGTCACTCAGGTCTCGTGTTCATGTGTGGGTTGGTCGTGTGTAGCGTTACGTCTGTAAAGCGACTTGATCCCCCGACTGGCGCGTTAGTAATATTACGAGTGACCGTCCCCACTCTTTATGATCCATGGCTGCCAAAAGAGTTGCTCGTGGCGAGCAGTCCTATTTCCAAAATATATGAACCCAGTGAACAATCCCGATCTGCAATTATGTTCAACATGGTCCCGATGATGTTCTCGTGGACATGAGCCTACTAGAACAGACATTGCCAACGGAAACACCCTAAAGTATGGCGATCACCATTGCAAACACTGTTCATTTTTGTGACCGATGATTATGTGGCCCTGACACAGTGGTTAGTATGCGTTTTACTTAATTGTGTGTGTTCCGAAATGTTTGATAAGCTGTTGTTTTGAAGTTTAACGTACACAATTTTTCAGTGGACAATAGGCAGCCATTGTTAAAAAGATCGATGTTTTCATACCCATGGCTTAACTTGAAAGAGGTATCATTAAGAAAAAAGGATATCTCTTTTTAACCAATCATAATCAAGCAATCTTCGATGTCTTGAAGAATAATTTTCAATCTTACCACTAGTGATAATGGGGTGTCCGTAAACTTACATAATATTATGTTCCGAATATTTGACAATGTAAACGCGTGACGAAAGCATGCTTGATTTATGCTATTTTGCGAGATATATACGTTACACTTGCTACTGTCTTATTATATTCCCGTACTTATCAGTAATGCCGCTGGCAAGACAAGACAAAACAAAAGAGTTCCGATCTTTTTTTACCAGCCCCGCCCTGATATTGCTGGAATATTGCTAAAAGCGGCATAAAACCAAACTCACTCACTCACTCACTTTTGAACCAGTGGCGATTTATTAGGTAAAGCGTGCACATCGGTTTTTACTTTTATGCCTCCGTAAACAGAAACAAATATTGAAGTCACTTCTTATGAAGTGAACAGTTACAATATCCCTGCCTTCCCCGTGAAAGTTGGGGGTAGAATAGGTCTTCAGCAACCCATGTTTGCCCTAAAAGGCGACTAAGTTTGTTTTATGTTTAACCAAGCAGTCAGCAATATTCCAGCTATATGACGGCGGTCTGTAAATAGTCGAGTCTGGACTAGACAAACCAGTGATTGATATCATAAGCATTGATCCACACAATTGTGATCGATGACATGCACCAACCAAGTCAGCGAGCCTGACCACCCGATCCCGTGAGCCGCCTCTAACGACAATCTTAGTCGTCTTTTACGGCACACATGGGATGCTAAGGACCTATTCTACCTCGTATCTTCACACATTCATATGCAACACTCCAAGGGAAAATTAACTTCGTATTTCACATTCTGTCACACACAATGAATTCGAATCAATGGCACGTAGACGTTTGAGTATAACGGCATGTCCGGAAGGAAGTAGTTTATTGTTAATTGTTGGTAAATATCACAATAAACATATCACTAACTTAACGTGCGGTTTACTCCCAATCCCAACGGTATTTTAGTTTATTGACGCCTGCAATACTTTGATCTAAAGAGCCAACTTCCCTTGCACCCACAGTCTGTCTGAAACACGAGCTTCGTTTCCCCTGACTGCATAACCAACCACAGTGCGACAGTCCGCATCAACTGTTATGTTTCCATGTTTGCCATCCCTATGTAGTTGATTACTTATTTACGTAACAACGCAATATGTTTGTACGTGGAAGCAGAACCCTATGACTCTTTGCTCCTTTGGGTTTTGCCACAATTACATAATCCCTTCTCCTTTATCTATCAGATTCCAAACGATGCCCAGCATCACATCAATAACTGGTAATACTGTACAGTCTAGTACAGTCAATGGCTCCATGCGTTAAAGCGTAGACAACCGTTTTTCAAATTACTGTTCAGACGCCCTTTTTGACACCTTGTTAAAGGGTTGAAGTAAGTAATTTCGTCGGTGAGTGTCAATTCTAGTTACCAAAGTTAGTACAATACTAACAGGCCAGACATGTGGCTATTCGTCACTTCTTCTCCAGTCCATTAAACAAATTACAAATAGTTTTCATCTGATTCTATATCATTTTGAAAAGGATTGCTCCTTAAAATATATATTTGAAGTGGACGATATATATTGAGAACGTATCCTAAAACCTGAAAAAT